ATAGAATAGAATAGAATAGAATAGAATAGAATAGAATAGAATAGAATGCAGGATAGGATAGAATGCAGGATAGGATAGAATGCAGGATAGGATAGAAGAGAGAAGAGAAGTGAAGAGAGAATAGAATAGAGAAGAGAAGAGAAGAGAAGAGCCCTTGGAGGTCTTCTAGTCCAGCCCCCTGCTCAGGCAAGAAACCCTATACCACTTCAGACAAATGGCTGTCCAGCCTCTTCTTAAAAACCTCCAGTGTTGGAGAATTCACAACCTCTGGAGGCCAGATGTTCCACTGGTTAATTGTTGTCACTGTCAGGACACTCTCAGGAAGCTCAAGTAAAAGATCTTTTGTCAGTTTGATTTTCCTCATGTTCCTAATTGTTTTTCCCATGCATAAAATCTCTTTCAATTGGATCCTACATAAACCTTAGTAAGACCACACACATTCCGTTTTGGTCACCACATTACAAAAAAGAGGTTGAGACTTTGGAAAAAAAATGTAGAGAAGAACAACTGATTAAAGGCCCGGAGACAAAAACGTATGAAGAACGGTGGCAGGATTTGGGTTTGGCCAGTCTAGAGACAAGAAAGAGTAGGGGAGACATGAGAGCAGTCTTCCAGTATTTGAGGGGCTGCCTCAAAGAGGAGGGGGGTCAACCTATTTTCCAAAGCCCCTGAAGGCAGGACAAGAAACAATGGGTGGAAATGAATCCAGGAGAGAAGCAACCTGGAATTATGGAGGAATTTTCTGGCAGTGAAAACAATGGAACAGCTTCCCTCCAGAAGTTGTAGGTACTTCATCACTGGAGGTTTTTAAGAAGAGACTGGACAATCAATTTGAAATGGTATCGGGTCTCCTGCTTGAGCAAGGGGACTAGAAGACCTCCAAGGTCCTTTCCAGCTCTATCCTGAATGAAGGTTTTATTTGTTCTGTTTGGAGTAGGTGTGACTCTACATATTCTTCATTTCTAATCTCTCAGCTGCTCGTAGCTACCTCTAATCTGCAGCGATGGTGGCAGAATTCTTAGACATCTGAGACCAACTGTTTTCATTTTCAATAAAAGTAGAGAGCGGGAATTAAAACAGGACTTGCTTAACTAATTTTTATCAGGTCTATTTCTTTTTTGGTTTGAAGTGGGCAGTAGTGGCTTGCCTCTCACTAAAGAAGAAAGACCCTTTGTAGCTACCTAGTTAGTTAGTTACATATTCCCTTTTTCTCTTTTTGGGAAAATTGTAGTATAACAAGATGCTTCTGAAATATAGAAGTCCATTAACCTCTCTTCTTCCTGTCACCCTGGTTATACCAATTCACTCTGGGTGCAATTCAAAGTGCTAGGTAGGATTAAACAGAAAAACAGCTCAGGGTTAAAGTATCTAACATTTAAATACTCCAAAGAGTGCCAAGTGGTTTTGTGAGTCTGTCTGACTTCAAACAAGAGTTATGCATGTTTGAGGTGTAACTTCCTCGGAATCCAGGCGAGCAACCACACAAAAGTGAGCTGATTGTACTTTTGATTCCGTTTCCTGGGGTTACTTATTCCTAAGAATTTCCTAGCTCTGCTTAGATTCAGGCCAAGGATGAAGTGTTGGCTTTTCTCACGCTTTGCAACTAATTCCATCTTCCTGATTTTAAGTTTGACATGCACAATTGAGCCCAACATTTCTGTTGTTAAACGAGACATTTGTTAAGAGGAGCTTTGCCCCATTTTACGAGATTTTTCATCACAGTTGTTAAGTTAGCAGCACAGTTGTTTTTAAGGGAATCTGCCTTCCCCATTGTCTGAAGGTCACAAAAGGGGATCCCATGACTTCAGGACACTGTGACCGTCATAAAATACAAATCAGTTGCTAAGCGTGTGAATTTTGATCACGTGTCCACAGGGATGCTGCAATGGTCATAAGTGTGAAAAACAGCCACAAATCACTTCTTCCCCGTGTCGTAACTTTGAATGGTTACTAAATGAACTGTTGTAAGTCAACCTGTATGGTATTTTAAAATATCGGGTTAGTACCTGATATGTATTTTAAAGAAAAGTGGGATAAACAGTATTAACTAAATGGGTTACCTATGGTAGCTGTACTCCTTTATCTACTCCTTTAGCTACTATTTTGTTATAAACATCAAAGTAATCCAATTGCTGGAAATTTCAGTTTGCTATTCTTTAATTGTGTCGTTGTTGGTTGCAAAGTCATGTCTGACCCATTGTGACGCCATGGACAACGTTCTTCCAGGCCTTCCTGTCCTCTACCATCTTCTAGAGTCCATTTAAACTCACGTTGACTGCTTCAATGATTCCATCCATCCCCCTTCTTCTCTGCCGTCCCCTTCTTCTTTGACCCTCCATCGTTCCCAGCATTCAGCTCTTCTCCAGGGAATCCTTCCTTCTCATGAGGTGGCCACAAAGTCTTTGGGGTTCATCTTCAGGATCTGGCCTCCTAAATAGCAGTCAGGGTTGATCTCCTCTTGGAATGACCACATGGATGGCCTTGCAGGCCAAGGGACTTGCAAGAGTCTTCTCCTCCAACCCCAGAGTTCAAAGGTCTCCATTCTTTGGCGCTCAGCCTTCCTTACGGTCCAACTTTCACAACCATACATGGCAACTGGGAAAACCTTACACACTTTTGTTGGCAGGGTATGTAGTTTGACACAAACATGTTTTTTTTTTTTCCCCTTCCCAGGCTGGTGACTTTACTAATCACAACGGTACAGGAGGAAAATCCATATATGGCAGTCGCTTTCCGGATGAAAATTTCATTCTTAAACACGTTGGACCCGGTAAGCAAGTTTTCCCATCCATCCTTCTGGATGCCGGCATGTGTTTGTTATAGAGCTGAAGTCTCAGAATTGATTTCATTGCCTAGAAAGTCACTTCTGAGACCAGATGTAAAAGAAGGAGTGGCAGAACCTAGGGAGGGAGTCAAAAGAGGGATCAGCCCAGAATCCCTACGCAGTCACAAGCAAAATGAATCCAACCCCCTTTGAATTCCCTTGATCTTTTTCTAACTCCAATCAAGTGGTAACTCTTAGATTAAAAGATCCTTGGGCATAAACATGATTAGCAATAAATCCATTTAAGAAGACCTTCGCGGTGTGTTTCATGCCCTCTACACCAATGTCTGTTTTAATAATGGTGAACTTCTGAAACAGATTCAGGTATCACTTTAAGATAAGTGAAAACTTAACGTCAACATTTACTACTGGCGGTTATATGCAAAAGCAACACGCAACTTTCTATTTTTTAACTTGTTTGATTTGAAATCAATACTTGTCAAGATTAAGGTACAGAGGGGCGGGAAATGAAGCCAAGATTAAGGTGAGGTTTTGTGGAGGGAAATATCACTGGAAGAATTTGATTGGGCAAAATCCCCTTAAGATCCGTTTTAAAGTTTTCTCGCAAGATCTGCTTTTGAGTTTTCAAAGTTTTCTGCAATCCATTGATTGCTGAGAACTGGAGGGTACTGTGCTAGTTTAATGAAGCAGAAGTGCATTTTTTGGCAACTTCTCTCCCCAAAAGAAGAAAAAAAAACCTTTCTTTTTTAACTGTAATTATTCATGCACTGGAATGAAGATGAGTAGGAAGTAGGGGCTGAATTTAAAATTTAGATCTCATGGGGAAAGTTGGTCTCTGTTTTTAGTTCAGCGTACCTGATGGCCTGTTGTAAGAATCAATGAGGACAAATCTTTCTCTGTCTATGCCACCTTGTAAGTTATAACTAAAATAAACCACTAAATGTCTAAGGAGATTCTCAAAAGGTACTTTTTTCAGGAGGCAACTGGACTTTCTTTGTTTTTTTCTTTGAAGACGTTTTGCTTCTCATCCAAGTAGCTTCTTCGGCTCTGACTGGATGGTGCAAATGACCAGCTGTCTGCAAGGAGTATAAATTCTTCCATTCCATACCATCCAGTCAGAGCTGAAGAAGCTTCTTGGATGAGAAGTGACATCTCTTCAAAGAAAAACCTGAAAGCCCAGTTGCCTATTGAAAAAGCACCTTTGGGATAAAATAAACGACATTTCAGATTATTATTATATTTTAAATTGTACTTAAAGTTTCCATGTTGGGTCAGTCAAAAGAACAACAGCTGGGTCTCCTTTGTCTTGATTATAGGTCATCAGTTTATTTATTGCAATTTATAAACTGCAATTTATTTATTCAATTTACTGCTCCAATTCTTGCTGCCTTGAGTATCTTATAGTTCCTATACATAATAATAAATATTAACCCTGGTTATCCATTGATTTTCAAGAATAGACTAAAGTCCTCGTTCACTTTTTAAAACACTAAACTTGACTAACACCGGTATCTGTTCTCATGTATTAGCAAGGAAATACCGCATCAGGTGTTCATTTTATCCCGTTAGAGATACGATTCTTATCATATGATTCCAGACTATTAATCAGATGATTGATATCTAAAACTTACATGCAATTGATCTTTACCAAAGGTTTTGGATGTTGACTGATGGAAGATGGACTTTATAACTTTTCAAAGGTGGCATGTTGACAAGTCCTGTGGGTGGTTTTTGCCAATCTAAATTTGGGAGTTCATATTTCGTATTTCTAAAGGCAAATGGGTAGATTATTCTTATATTTAAAGAAGGGAGAGAGAAAGAAAGAAAGAGAGAGAGAGAAAGAGAGAAAGATGAAGGAAGGAAGGAAGGGAAAGAGAAAGAGAAAGAAAGGAAAGAAAGAAAAAAGAAAGAGAGAGAAAGAGAGAAAGGAAAGAGAGAAAGAAAAAAGAGAGAGAAAAAGAAAGAAAAAGAAAGAAGGAAAAAGAGAGAAAGGGGAGAGAAAGAAAAGAAAAAAGAAAAGAAAAGAAGGGGTGCTGGATTCTGGCATAAAAGAGAAAATTAATTGTTTCCTTTTGTGAAGCTTCTCAAACAAATGCTACTATCTGATTCTTCCAGCAAATGTTTGTGAGTTTTAGCTCCAACAACGGGTTGCATTGTGACTTGGGGAATATCATTCCCTAAGCTTTAATACAAACTCCCCCCCCCCCCAAAAAAAAACCACCAAAGAAGAGGCTTCGTGCGAAAACCTCTCTCTGCGAACGGCTGTTCTCGGCTTTTGTTTAGCAAAGCTAAATCTCCCTCTTGTTTCTTGCAGGTATCCTCTCCATGGCCAATGCCGGCCCCAACACAAACGGATCTCAGTTCTTCATTTGCACGGCCAGAACAGATTGGTAAGTATTGAGGAATGCATAAAACGTGACTCAGGGTATTCTTCTTCATGTACTCAATTTGATTGATTGACACTTAGAATACGGCATCCAGTTTTGGTGATCACCCCCAATATCTATCTAATCTAGGCTAAAACATATGAAGAATGGTTGCAGGAACTGGGCCTGGCTAGTCTAGTGAAGAGAAGGACCAGGGGAGACAGGATAGCAGTCTTCCAATATTTGAGGGGCTGCCACAGAGAGGAGGAAGGGGTCAAGCTATTTTCCAAGGCACCTAAAGGCCAGACAAGGAATAATGGATGGAAACTGAACAAGGAGAGATTCAACCTGGAAATAAGGAGAAATTTTCTGACAGCGAAACAATCAATCAGTGGAAGAGAAGTTGCCTTCAGAAGTTGTGGGGGCTTCATCACCGGAGGCTTTGAAGAAGAGACTCGAGGGCCATTGGTCAGAAATGGTGCAGGGTCTCCTGCTTGGGCAGGGGGGTTGACTAGATGACTGACAAGGTCCCTTCCTACTCTGTTATTCTGTTAAGAGCAATTAAGATGATTAGAGGCCCAGAAGCTATAATATAGGAAGAACAATTGTAGGAATTGGGTGTGTCTAGTTTAATGAAAAGAAGGACCAAGGGTGACAGGATAGCAGTCTTCCAATATCCCAAAAGTAATTCCAAACTTTTTCATGCCCAAAATCTCTTTCAATTCGACCCTACATAAAACCTTAATAAGACCGCACCACAGCCTGTTTTGCTCACCACATTACAAAAAAAAGATGTCGAGACTTTGGAAAAAGTGCAGAGAAGAAGCAACTAAGATGATCAAAGGCCTGGAGACTAAAACATATAAAGAATGGTTGTAGGAATCGGGTGTGTTTAATTTAATGAAAAGAAGGACCGGGTATTCTGACCTAGGCTTCCCCAACATCACGAAGCTGAGTCCTTGTCCCAATAAACCCCTTTTATTTGATTTACAATGAATTTCCTCTCCAACAAAGTCCCGGCCAACAGTCTTTCAAGATAGTTCCCAATTACAAACCTTTATCAGGCTTGGAGAGGGGCCAGGCCAATATCTTTCAGACACCGCAATACTTGGCAAGCATGCCAGAATGAACTGATAGTCTCCTGCAAAACCCGCTCCCCTTTTGTTCCTCTTTTATTCCTTATGGGAGGGGCCATTCACTGTCCACCTGTGGCTTTACTTCCAAGTTGGCCCTTGTTCCTCAGCTATTCCCTTCTTCTGGCGACTCTGCGCATGTGCACACTGGGAACAGGCTCCAGCTGTTCTTCTTCCCTACTGATCTCTGACTCCGAAGCCAGCTGATAACTTTCAGACAGCCCTGGCCCCATCTCTGCCTCTGACACAGAGCCTTCCCCAGACTCTGGGACTGGCCCATGTTCCTCCCCAACCTCCTTACTGTCTGAATCTGCTGCCAGCTCTGCTGGCCGCTGTCAGGCCACAACACCGGGGGGGTGACAGGATAGCACTCTTCCGATATCTATGGGGTTGCTGCAAAGAAAAGTTACAGGTTCGGGGATGTGGTGGTGAAATCTGAGCCTTTTTATTTCTTTTTTTAAATTATTCTTGGTGTTCAGTAGAAGTCTACTGTCCATCAAGTTATCTTTGATTTTGGTTGCTCAACTAGAGGGATTGCTCTGCTGGCCAGACTTTAAGCTCTGTCAACATTTCAACTTTCCATTGTAAAGACATTTTTTTTTTTACGACGATCCTGCCTCTCAGTTAGCCTTCCTACCAAAGTTCAGAGTTTGTCCCTCTTTTCCAGGACCGATCTTAATTTTTAAAATACTTCTGCTCTTTCTCCCAATCTTTCAGCTTGTCTGCAAACAGTAGCCACGGCGGGAGTTTTAGCCTGGCACATCTGGGGCAGAGCAAGTCGGTAAAAAAGTTACCCCTAAGTGAAAACAAAGCAAAGCGTGAGAGGGATCTCTTGCCTTCTCACCCTTAACTACAGGTAGTCCTCAACTTAACAACAGTCCATTTAGCGACCGTTCGAAGTTACAATGGTTTACACCAAAAAAACCACCTCACTTAACAAATGTCTCACTTAGCAACGTAAATGTTGGACTCCATTGTGGTCGTACGGCGAGGACTACCTGTACTCAATTTTAAAACTCAAAGTCACTGTCAGTTTCTGCCCATTCTAGGAAAATATTGTTGGGACAAGATAAACAAATGACTTTGTGTTTTGAACCCAAAAGGCACCAGGTCTTATTTTTGGGGGATGTCACCCAAAGACTAACCTCATTTGTGTGCAACGCCCCTGGCCTCCTTTTCACTGTCAGAAGCCTTCAGGAACTTCTTCTTCTATGGCCGGCAAGGCTTTCCTGAAGGCCTCTGCATCCCATAACAGAGCTCTGGATCGATCTAGAACTTTGCTATCAGCTCCAGAGGCCTTCACGAAAACCTTGCCAGCTGCAGAAGAAATGAGCCGGCGAGGCAGGTGTCGGGGTGTGCGAGGCCTGGCTACAACTGTCCAAAGGTAAGTAGAAGGGCAGCTCCACCCCCACCACATCCCCATCCTAGCTTAATTTTTACCCATCCACTCTGGAGTGGGTGGGATCCTAATTAGGGCTTATTTTGGGGGTAGAGCTTATATTGGGCTCACACGTAAAAATCAAGCTAGGACTAAACTTTCAGGGTAGGTGATATTTTCGGGGAAATGGTACAAAAAGTCCAATTCACGAAGAATAATTCAGTTGATAATGATAATTATGGTGATTAAACTAACTTTCCATTCTTCAAAAGCAGTACGCCCTAAAATCACAGGCCTGGCTAATGGGATTTCTGAATCTATCCAACTGCAACTTTTGGAGTTTGAATGCTGGATTAAAAATGAATAAGGCTGCTTGGGAGATAACAGGAGAGAAGAATATTTTTTTTCTGAGGATTTGCCAGCCTGTATCCCAAACAAGGACCTGAATTTGCTTGCTTTACATTGAATGTAAAACTTTCTTAAGGACAGCCTCTAGGGATCTGTGGTGCTGTAAATGAACAATAATGCATCTTTGCTAGAATTACACTTTTTAAAATTTCATTTACAAGCAACAACTACCATCCTATTTTGAACAGGCTTCCATTTGCTGTGCTGTTCCAAACCATGTTATATATCACTGCTTTCTGGATGAGGCTTGCTAATTCTAGCATGCTGCCAAGTGTGGTCAAACTTTCTTAACCCATCTTAGTTCAGCTTTTATCATGCGGGGAATAGTTGTTTAAAAAAAAATCAGGAATGTAAGTTACAAAGGGTTTTACAAAGGTTACAAAGGTGGACCATTTTAAAATTTTTAACATGCTGTCACAGAAGTAGCTTCACAGTGCTTTAAACATCAACATTAGCTATATGAAGAATGGTTGCAGGAATTGGATATGTTTAGGCTAGTGAAAGAAAGAACTAGGGGTACATATGATAGCAGTCTTCCAATATCTAAGAGGTTGCCACAAGGAAAAGGGGATCAGCCTATTTTCTAAAGCACCGGAAGGCAGGAGAAGAAGCAAAATGGGTGGAAATTCATCAAGGAGAGAAGCAACCTGGAAATAAGGAGGAACTTTCTAACAGTGAGGACAATCAACCAGTGGAACAGAAGTTGCCTCCAGAAGTTGTAGGGGCTTCATCACTTTTTCAGAAAAGTTTGGACGACCAATTTGAAATGGTATAGGGTCTTCTGCTTGAGCAGGGGGCTGGATTAGAAGACCTCCAAAGTCCCTTCAAGCTCTGTAATTCTGATATTCTGTTATTTGTCTGTTATTTTGTTTGTATTGCAGGCTGGATGGAAAGCATGTTGTGTTTGGCCAGGTCAAAGAAGGAATGGATGTTGTGAAGAAAATTGAAAGCTTTGGGTCAAAGAGTGGAAAGACTTCAAAGAAGATAGTCATTACCGACTGTGGCCAGCTGTGATCATTCAACCCCGTCAAGATGTCTTCCCTGAAGAATCAGAGATGCAGAAAAGAATGCCTCAAAACTATTGACTTAGAGATTTCTCAGTTAATCCCCTTGGACGCCGCTGAAGTACATGAAGAAGTCCAGTTGTCATTTGAACCACCTCAAACTCTTCATTTCAATAGCCTTGTATCACTTTTTAAATACCCTAATTAAATTTTCTATCCATAGTAAGCCTGAACATGTGAGAACCATAGCTAGCTGGATTGTATCAAAAGGTTATCCTGCTGTTGGTTAAATTGATACTTGAATTTTTCCCCATTTCAAGTCAAGGTAGGATTGTGTAGGCCATTAAGTGAAGATGGCTTCCTAGTAGCATCTTCCCCTTTAAACCTCAAACACAAACTCTTGAAAGAATATGTTGCCTTTCAGTTGAAGCTCTTCATGTTTCTGTGGCTTGAAGACTGAAGAACCCTCCAAGCCGCAAACATGGAATTCATGGATTTCCTACAGTTTGTCTGAAACTATGCCTGTGCCTGGATCATAATAAGAACAAAACAATGTATGTTTAGGCTGCTTAGAATGTAGCACTTGCAAGGAATGTGCTGCTCCTAGAATCTGGATTTAGGAATATGGTACCGGAACAAATAGAATATTTTTATTAACTTGCAAAGAAAAAAATTGAGGTTACTTATTTCAGATGCAACTATGAATTCAAGCATCAGGGAAAACTGCGTATATCCACTGTTGTAAATATAGCACGATAGCTTGACCGATATGCTCAACGGTATATTTCTCCTCTTACAATTCTTTATCAGAACCAGCATTTGGATTGCATTTTGCTTCATTTAAAAGTAGATTAAAGACCCGCCAGGCTGCTAGGCATAGCTTTGAGACTGTAAGTAGATGAACTGGATCACTAATTTGATTATTTACACTCTTAACTTGCCACACCCAATTAAAACAGAAATTCTAAACCCAGACAGGTTCGTTGGTTTATACCGTGAGCAGTGAATTCCACAACAGATTTCCCATCTTCCCTTTTTTTAAAAAAATTAATTCAGATTACTGTCCTAGATCTCCACATTCAGTTTCACACCATAGATGTAGCAGGTGGTTAGGGCTGGTGATCTCCGTGCTTGGTACCACTGTCTTTATCTCAGGAATCTAAAGGTAGGGTGTGATTTCACCAGAATCCTACAATGATGGAATTGTAGTCAGGGCAATAGGAAATAGAAAATAACTCTTTATCTATCCTTGAATGTTTGGGAGTTTTATGAGGAACTTGGAACTGTTGACGTAAGCAGCCATCTTGAATTCTGCTGAAGGCATGCTGAAAATACCCACGCTGTAGTCTGTAACCAATTGCACATGTCTCCGCTATGTGAGCAGAGTTAAAAATTGAAGCCAGATATGTGTTGTCTTTTATCAGACCTTGAAATGTGATGATCCTTTTTATGTGAATTTGTAACTCCGTAATAGTCATTTCACTGAAGGTTGAAAACGCTGCCGTGGAACAGGTACCCTCGATTTAACGGCCATTCGTACAGTTCAAAATGGTGGCAGCAGTGCTGAATAAAGTGACGTCCAACCCATCCTCCCCAGTTGCAGCCGTCACGTTATCCCACGCCACCCCCACCCCCACATATGATAGTGGCAACTCCCTCATGTACAACGGTTGCCGTGTCTTGCACTTTCGCGATCACAGTTGGCTTCCAACAACGTCAATGTGGGAGCCTGCAAGGAAGGTTGTAGATCACAATCCCGTGAGGTCTGGCTTCACAACTGGCAAAAGCCGGTCACAAAATGAGGTGCAGTCACAACAAGTAACACCACAATTTTTTTTTTCCTGGTCTCCCTTGTGGTCGTTGGTTGAGGCCCTTTATACGGAAGAGTCTAACAACAAATATGCTATCTTGACATGATTTTCCCCGTTCTTTGAAATGTTTTTTGAACTTGTTAGCTCATGTTCTTTATCAGTAATAAATGGTATTTTTTTATAACATGTTTGTTTAAGTGTGTAATATATTAAATACCTTTGATAGGAGAAGATGGTTTTATGTCTTTCTTGGGTTAAAGAGGAGTTCCTTAGTCCTGTAAAGAAATGCAAAAGCAACTTCTTGTTTAAGATTATTTATATTCCTTGCAGAGAGCTGGTCCTTTTCATCCTTTTAGAGAGGCATTGAGGCCACTTGGAGGTTTGTCTGTATCAGAATCATCTGAATAGTGCAAATGGGTGTGGAGCCTTCTTGGAACTGCTAAAAGGACTGTATTGTAGACTGGAGATACATGATGTCCTATCCCCCTCCCCTGTGGAGAGAGGGCTGTTCAGTTTTGACATAGATGGCCTCTTTGACTCCTCTTTCAAACAGTGGTCCTCTCTGCCCAAAATGTGGACTTTGCTGTCTTCCAAAGAGTGGCCTTTATTTTTCAAATGCATGTGGGCTGCTGAATCTTGTCCTGATGGGTTTGTTCTCCTATGTTGTGCCATGTGTTTGTGAAGGGGTTGTTTTGTTTCCTCAATGGACAAGATCTGTGAAGTCAGCATTTTCTATTTTTGTCTCAGTGTAGATTTTATAGGTTCCGTAATATGAGAGAATATGTGTGCAATTTGGCAGCAATGTAAGTACATACCTTCTCCTTCCATTGACCTTCTGAGGTAAGGGTATGCATGCATTGTGAGGGATTAAAGTGACATATAAGACTTAGAAACTTTTACAGCATCAGAGCTTGGTAGTTGCTATTTTAGGTATTAATTTTGCTTTCTTGGAGTAACTGTGACCCTTATTAACTTTTACTAAAGAAGTAAATGTTCACACTGCTTTCTAATGAAGTGTGACTTGTGACATTTTCTGGCCTGGTGTTTTTCAACTTTAGCATTTTAAGAGGTGTGGACTTGGACTGCCTGGAGAATCCTGGGAGTTGAAGTCCATGCAACTCAAAAGTGGCTAAGATTGAGAAATGCTAGTCTAGGCTAATTCTTCCATACACGAAAGCAAGTAGGAACTACAACTAAGTCCTGTTAATCATAACAGGTGCTATAAGCACCTTCCAATACCAACATTGTATTGTTTGTATGACTCTGGAAAGAGTGCAGAGAAGAGCAACCAAGATGATTAGGGGACTAGAGACTAAAACATATGAAGAATGGTTGCAGGAACTGGATATGTCTAGTCTAGTGAAGAGAAGGACCAGGGGAGACAGGATAGCAGTCTTCCAACATTTGAGGGGCTGCCAGAGAGAGGAGGAAGGGGTTTAAGCTATTTTCCAAGGCACTTAAAGGCCGGACAAGGAATGATGGGTGAAATCTGAACAAGGAGAGATTCAACCTGGAAATAAGAAGAAAAAAATTCTGATAGTGAGAACAATCAACCAATGGAACAGAAGTTTCCTTCAGAAGTTCATCACTGGGAACTTTCAAGAGACTGGACTGCCATCTGTCCGAAATGGCATCTCCAGCTTGGGTGAGAGGTTGAACTAGATGATCTATAGGGTCCCTTCCAACTCTTTTATTCTGTTAATTCGGTATGTGTGTATGTGTACAAACACAAGGATGGAAGTATTTATGAAGTGAAGCATAATTTCTCTAGCTGTAGCGAGTAGAGATTTTACATGGGTGTAGCCCTCTTCTGCCAGTAGATGGTGCCATAAGAATGGTCTTAAGCTCATCAGTTTGACAAGTGGAGACATAACTAGCTTTATTTTCTGAACACCGTTCCTCAAGATCCAAATGCAAAGCCCGGTGTGATTTCTGCCAAGAACCAAACTGTGATAAAAAAAAAAACATGGCTTCAGGGAATGAGATGATGCAGCCTCATTTGGTGGAAGAAGCAGAGATCTATCGATAGATCAGCTTTCTCTATTGTGGAGCTCCCATATCTGTGGGGGGCTGCAACTCACAGTTGGTACGACCAGCTCAATTCTTGCTGCTCTTGAAGGAAATATGCCACTTGCTCCTTGGTGAACCTCACATTCAAAATTCCTTTATTTTGACTACCTGTTCCTGGTTGACCAGGCTGCTGACCCCAGCTAGGCAACTCCAGCTAAATTCTGAAAGCTAGACAGGGTGTACATGGTCCAGATTTTGATGGAATACCACCATGAAATGGCGGTAAACTAGGAAGAAGCAAAAGAGTGGCAGAAGTGGGCAATGACAAATTGTTGTGCTGGAGTCAATAAATCTACGTGGTTATATTGCGCAAGAAGGAGCTTGGCCCCAAGAAAACTTAATGTGTGTGGTTGTCCATTTGGTGACACTTCTCAGAAGATGTTCTCAGAAATGGAAGTGTGCTTTCAAAAATAAATATTCCACAAATGTCTAGTATAGAGGCTACGATCCTTTAAGAGTGTATTTCGAAAGCATTTCTAATACTGTATATAATCTCTCTGAAAGAAACTTCATAAAGTATCAGGAGTATAAAAGTCTACAAAATAAAAAACAAACAAGCCCCATTTTCTTCAATATCCTACTAATGGAAGCAAAAAAAAAAATCTTACAAAAAGGTTTCTGACTCTTCTAGTTTGAACAGTTTGTCCTGACAATCCTGCTTCCTTGGAGTCAGGCAATGGGCTTCTGTGAACTCTGGATGGTTTTTTCTTGTCTTAGGTAATAATCGAGGCTAAGTTACACATTACACATAGGCACCATAATTGGAGAGAGGCCAGCGTAGAAGAACTTTCAGAATGGACTTGTCAATATTTATTCACCAGCTCTTGTCCAACATGTAAACTCTGAATTTGCCTTGTCAATGTATGTTTGCCAGCAGTTTGATCTTCAAATATAAGAAAATAACAGAGTTGGAAGGGACCTTTGAGGTCTTCTAGTCCAGCCCCCTGCTCAAGCAGGAGACCCTACACCATTTCAGACAAATGGCTGTCCTGTCTCTTCTTAAAAACCTCCAGTGATGAAGCACCCACAACTTCTGATGGGAAGCTGTTCCACTGGTTGACTGTTTTCACTGTCAGAAAAGTTCTCCTTAGTTCTAGGTTGCTTCTCTCCTTGATTACTTTCCATCCGTTGCTTCTTATCATGCCTTCAGGTGCTTTGGAAAAAAGGTTGACCTCCCCTTCTTCGTGGCAGCCCCTCAAATATTGGAAGACTGCTATCATGTCACTCCTTGTCCTCCTTTCACTAGATTAGACATATCCAATTCCTGCAATTGTTCTTTATATCTTTTAGCTTACAGCCCCCTAAATCATCTTTGTTGCTCTTCTGTGCACTCTTTAATAATAATCTGCATGCCATTGAAAAATTCACCAATAAAAGCAATGCATATGGATACAGAGAATGCCTATCCTGAATTTTAGAGTTTCATTAAAGGGGGAAAAAACCCACAAATTCCTGTCAACCGGGGAATGCAAGCATACGAATCAGTTCAGGTATTAACTTGGCTAGAATTTCAAAAACATCTGAGCACTCCGGAACATGAATTTGAAGACCTGGTTAAGAATAATTTCACTACATGTTCTCTTAAGTAATTCTAAAAATTTACAATATTGTATTTTCACACTGGGGCATTTGGTTGTATAGATTTGGCTGCTAATTAATGCCACGGATTGGTGGGGAAATAAGTTTGCCTAAGAAATGAGGATGGCATTTTTAGGAGCCATGGTGGCGCAGTGGTTAGAATGCGGTATTGCAGGCTAATTCTGCCAATTGCCAGCAGTTCGATCCTTGCCAGCTCAAGATTGACTCAGCTTTTCATCCTTCCGAGGTGGGTAAAATGAGGACCCAGATTGTTGGGGGCAAGAGGCTGACTCTGTAAACTGCTGAGAGAGGGCTGGAAAGCACTATAAAGCAGTATATAAGTTGTAAGTGCTATTTCAATTAAATTTGCCTTTTAAAAAAAGGACTTTAAAAGATTAGTGGGGAGCTTTGAAAGGACAGCTCGTTTTGGAGATGATAGTTCTTTGCCTCTGAGATAGAGTGAGACATCAATGAAAATATCCAGTTTTTTGTTTTACATTTGTTCCTAGTTGAACGTAATCCCAGTTTTGCTCTTGGGGATATGTTCTACGTATTTTTTTCCGGAGTAAATGTTTTTCAATCTCCCTTTCCAAGAGAGATTATAGAGCTCAACCCTTTGAGACAATGAGCAGAAGTAATCATTCCTAAATGTGCGAGCGTTTGTGTTGTTTTAATGTGTTGGTGTGTATTTTAAAGTAAACTGTGAAGAGACTGTTGTAGTTAGCATGACTCTGCTTCAGAAGGCAACCTGGTTCCAGCGTGAAATAATAACAGCACATTTAAGAAGGACAAGTTATTGCATTTTTAACTCAGTCGTATAATTAAAACCTTTTCTGCGCTTCGAGAAGCAAGATCAGCAGATAAAATAGTTCACTTTGAAGTCGTGTTTCTTAGCTGAAGTATCCTAGCCATTGTGTGTTTTATTATGAATTATGAAAGAGTTTGGGGAGGGGAAGAATTCATTTCCCCCACAGAGAATCCTGAAATATAATCCGTGTTTCTTTAATAGCGCCAGTGATTTATCTTGCAATTAACTTTGTACATGTTGGGTTCACACACAGTTGCAGTAGACCAAAGAGACTGTTCAGAGAGCATCTGGTTTCTATCTCTAATCACATCATCACATGTGGCTGGCGAACCCCAGTTTGGGGCTGGTCTTGTCAAACTAGGATCAGCTGCCAGTCATCTGTCAAATATTTGCTGAGGTAAACCCATCCTGTTATTTGCCTGCCCTGTTTTGCAAAAAACAAACAAACAAAGAACTGGATAGAATTAAAACAGGGAGAAAAAAGGAAAAAAATGGAAATTTGACATAAGGTTTCGTGCATGCAGATTGTGCATAGTGTGTGAAATATTGCTTGTGACACATTGACCACTGGCTGAATCCATCCCCCAGATGCTAAATATTAATAGATAATCATTAAAGAAATGCTTGGTTGTTGAAGGGCTATTTAAGCTCTAATATTTTAATCATATGAGCCTATGACAGAAATATCATGTTGACCTTGAATCATCTTGTCCCACTTGTCACCAGTGTCCTATCTACTTGAGATAGACCATCAATAAGTCATGCTTAG